CTTTTTATGTTTTGGTGGTGACAGAAATGTAATAAATCTATGATAGACTGAGTCTCTTCACTTATAAGTCGAAATTCCATTACTTATAACTGGTAACAATCAGTCTTTTTTAACCAGTTTAACCAAAAGAATACAATAAACAATTTATATCCAATCCAGTTTCTTTCATATCTGCAAGACGACCGGAACGTGAAACTACCAGACAATTCCATCACTTCCCGATATCAAGAATGCGTGAAGGTGAAGGACCATTTCTCCTACACCTTTCACTATCTTAGTGAAAATTTTGATTACTATACAGTGATTAAGTAGAATATTAATATTTCATGAGATTTAGCTTCTAGTAACAACGATGACACATTTACGTAGGAGAGCTGTTTGTTGTCCATTAGAAACTTTAACAGAGCCATAAAAAAATTTACAAAAAAGGTTACATACCTCGAATGTACTCTATACAAGATAAGAAAAATGAACTGATATGAGATTCTCACAGTATTTTGAATTTGTGTCCGAAAAGTTGGTATCCGCCTACAAGTCCACATGGCTTTACAACAAAAGTGACCAACATCAACGTCTTGACAGCCGTTAAAACTCCAGATTTCACGTAGTGTAAATTATTTCACGTATATAATTAACATAAATATGCTTGCTATAACTAATGATTCTGAGGGATGACGAGTTTCATCTGATACTCGAGTGACGGTTGCAAATCTCATCTTGCAACGACCCTCTGAAAGTAGTTGAAATTTCACATGCAAAGCTCTGCAAGACAACCCTTCCTTTCTGAGTAAAGGGAGTGGTGTCCCAACTGGCTCCAGAATCACGTTTTTGCAGTGACCACACCTTTCTTAAGACGTAATATACAGCAGGGAGTGGTTGAACCGGCTCCTGATAGAGATGGTACATACAGCCTCCCTGTTCTAACTTAGGTTTATCGATCGTTTCGACAAGGGTTCTGCTAGCCGTCCAGACAGAAGCCCTGGAGTTAAACTTGTGTGACTGGTCACAGGTGGGAAGGCGAAAGGTGTTTGTATCGGGAGCTCACACTGCTTGTTCTGCTCTGGTGTAAGATTCGTATCTAATCGGGAAGTTGTACGTGTTGGAGGGGGATACATTTTGCATTAGAATTGCACCGACCAAATTACATTTGGATTGGGCAGTGGGAAATTTCTTCTAGATATGAGTTTCCATACAGACAGCACGATGCTAGATGCAAAAAAATTATCACTAAAATATAGTGGAGGGTAAGTGGGACGGTACAGTAAAGAGTGAGAGGGTTACACAGACGGAAAGAGACGGCAGAATCCAATGGGCGGAGCAAATATTCGTTACTGTTCAGTCATTGGTCCTGGAAACACAGTTTCCGCTACTCCGCCTCAATAAAACATTTTTGAGGGTTTTTACTGGCCTTATCTACACATTGAAAACCTCCTACTTTCTGTATTTTCACGTGCAAGAGTTAAAAAATGACAGGTCCCTCGTACCGGTGGGTGGTTGGGTGACACATACAGAGGTTGGCCATACTGCTAATAGTTCCTTGCTTACTTGAGACTGGGGTAACGTGAGTGATGACCTCGGCGAGGGGGAACAGACCTCCCGGACACGGACATTCGCTAATATAAAACAAATGTTAAGATTTCATTATCGCAGGGGGGACACAAGAGTTTCAGATTGCTCTAGGTTTACACGCAGTTTTTGGTTCGAATACAGTTGTTACGCTGTGTAATACATAAAATAGCTCCAAGTATTTTTGTTTGAAATAATAGAAATTACTGTATAGCCTCATGTTTCAAACATGATTTTTGAATGGTGCTCCGGGCTTTGGGAGTTTCGGGCCAGTGACAACGAAGAAATAGCTTCACAGCATTAATGCAGTCTCAAAATAATCTTTCTTAGTCTGCTGGCTCAGTCCTTAAAGTACTGTACGATACACGATTGTCGTATTAAATTATTATTATTTAGTGTTCTGTCTGACGACAGGTCCCTATGAACAGGATCCTTCCATCCTTTTCTCGGACTGGGACCTGTTCATATACGTTCTTGGCAGATGATCCAGAAGTGGTTTGCCATTGCCTTCTTCTGTGTGTGATTGGAGTAATTGTTGGGATGCCACGGAGAAACCGGGGCACCGCCGGGAATCGAACCCGAGACCCCAGGATTACAAGGCCAACGTTCTAACCGCTAGACCACCGTGGCTCTGTCGTACTAAATACGCCACAATAACTGATGATATTTAGTACTTATCCAATTACGTGTTATACTTACATGCCCCAAGAAGATATTTACTGAAGTTCCCTACATTAAAATACAACGTACTTATTAATTGTACACAATAAACCATTGTCTATTCTGAAGTACTTGAAAACCGCGTCTGTACTAATTATTTACTAATACATTTTTTCGAATACAAATTTTGACGCCATCTGTGGAATAAAAATCATACTACATATTGTACATTTCAAAAAGAAGCACTGCGGCAGTGATGTAATGAGCAAGGCCCAATCAGGAAGCTGGTAGAGAATGATGGCGATGGTGCGCACTCTCAGGCGGAGAGCGCGTTACATTTGAATTGGTCTAGAACAGTGTTCATCATCCGCCAGTCCGCAGACCAGCACCGATTCGCGGAAAATTTTTAACGCTCCGGAAAACTTTCTTAAAACTGTTGGGAAAAGGTATTTAAAATGTTAAAAAAAATTGTGAGTGAAATAAAACTTAAGCTGATTATCTTAAATTTCTGCACGTGTTATTATTGTAGGCCCAATTATTTAGTTTGACGTTTATGTATCAGTGTTTTAATTTTATTTCTTAATAAGGGTTTGTGTAATAGAATATCTGCAGTCTTGTCGTCGTAAATTTCAAAATAGTTTAGAATTGAACTCACTCATATGTACATCGCTGGAATTCTAAAGTAAATGGTCGAATATCTGCCAGGTTTTGCAAGACAGAGATCAAGGCTTTGTAATTTTCCCGCATATGTTTGGTTTTGGCTCTGTCTTCTGCAATTATTTCAGTCCTTTCACTAGTGCTCGCAAACAATCATTCTTTAAAATGGTTTTCTGTAGACGTTGAAACGCCTATCCACAGCATTAGATTATTTTGCACGTGTCCAGTTTAACGCTGATATTTAATACAGTTTATAAGGAAAATAACACTTTATTTGGCAAAAGTATTTACTTCCCAATTATGTAAATATAAAACATTCACACACATTCTTCGACAGTGTTTTATCTCAGTGTTCATAACCGCTGTAACGTAAGGCGACTACAGGACACTTGAGTGAGCTAATTCAATTCAACCAATTTTAATTCGAATTATAACCTGCCTACGTTCAGTGCGGAATGTATGACACAGTGTTACATGGAATGTAAATAATATATTCACAACGGAAGATTTGGCCACTAAACTGAATCTGTCCAACACCAGAGAAAATTCTTCTGCTGTGGCTGACATGTTATGCACAAAAGTTTTCCCTTAAGGGTGTAGTCCTTAACTTCAGCATCCAAGTAGTAATCTCCTGTTTATCTCATAGGGGTAGCCGTAACCATGTAGGAAAGTGTTTAAAAACACATTAGCTTCACAGTAATCTACAGTCTTTCAAGGTACCTCAGTCGCCGAGTAATGAGACAGGGAAAAGTGAGTAGCCTAATGCCTCTAGCGTGATCCTCATAGCAAATACAAGTAAAAATCCCATTGTGACTTCAAACGAAAACAGTCAAATTTTGGCCAAAATAAGACATATGTCTATGGATATATATAATGTAATTGTTCTATTTAATTTGATTATAAATTAATTTAGAATATTGCAATTCACTTATTTCGAAGTTTATGCAAAATTGTAGAATTTGATAGCAAATTCAAAATACATATTAAATTTTAGTATTCCCAGTATTTTCATTATTAAACAGGTGCTTTTAGGAGTAAATAAGGGAAGAGGTGAGAGACTTTATTTCTAAGGTGTGAAAGAGCATCTTATAGCTATCAGATCCCTCAAAAATATCGCTCGTCCTTCTTGTAAGGGCATAATTAGAGTGAAGACGTTAGGGCGATAAGCAGTGAGAACTTTATCACAGAAGCCGTAGAATTTTGATTTAATGGAAAGTTAAGTAATTTATTGTTCTATGTAGTAAAATCGGGAGGCCCGCGTGAGAAGCATGGACTAGCATCTTAGTACTTGGAAACAATTTCAGAATTTCCTTAAAGACAGAGGAAATTGGTTCCAAACGTAATGTTTAAGTACATAATATATATTAGTTTATATCCTACCTCTAAGAAACACAAAGGGTCTTCATTTTAAAGACCATTTGTTTATGGTAGTTTGGAGAATCATACGAAACCTACAAATTAGTCTTGGACAAAATACAAATTTATTCCATTTTAAAATAGATGGTATATCAGTGTTTAAAATTGTTGCTTAAATGGCGACACTGACAATCTGTTTCATGTAATGAGTTAAGAATTTTCTAGGCTCTCAGCACTCAACTAAGAATAAATACCCAGTTATTAATTCCTTGATGCAAGACTTTTGTTCCAAACACTTGAATGAATATTAACTCTTTCTACATTAGTCGAATTATTATATTTTTTCCTATTATATGGAGGAGGTGTAACTACAATTTTAAAATATATGGACTATTTCTCATATTTCAGTAAATTATTGTTGGTTTAATTTTCATTAAATCAGGTGAATAAGAATTCTCTGAAATTGTCGTCTCGTCGCCTAAGGTTCTGTTAATTTAAGCTACTAAAGTATTGACGGTGCATATTTTCAAATGTATGTGTTCAAATGTTAATATGTAAGAAATATATGAGCGAAATTTTATATAATCAGGAATATGTAAACAGTACTCAAAGTGACTGGAGCTGTAGAACTCGATTTTAAGCAACAGTAAGTTGGATTAGAGTATACACGCGTATGAAAGGCATTACAGGTACACATACACTTATTATCAGTAATGACAATTTTATTTGAATAATGTAAATTAAATATTTCACTATTTCAGGTGATGTGGAGTGCAGTGACATTTCACCTCTGGCCTGCGGCAACGACACAACATGAATATGCACAAGGTTCTGGTATTCGCACACATCTTCAAATTTTAGAGGTAAAACTTTTCGTAGGTTTAATAGATCTCTTCAGTTTAATTTGTAATGGCTGATTAAGTCAAACTTTTTTGACACACACACACACACACACACACACACACACACACATATATATATATATATATATATTATTTTTTAAATGTCTTTATTATTCACAATGTTATTTAATGTCTGTACGGAATATTACAAAATTAGCCTAAATTGTCTTAGAATGGTAAAATTTTGTCTCTGTGAGAAACTACAAAGATACTTGGAATTTTAAAATGACACTAAGTCAGCCTACTTAAATAATTTAAGGAGAAATATAAGGATTATCATATACAGGTATCATATAACACATTATTTTAAGAACTTAACACTTTTAATTACAGTTGTCATGTATATAGCCTTTATGAATTCAATACCTACCTCAAAAACGTTCAAATACTTTCGTCCGAATGCAGGAGTTAAGCAAATTTCTAAATTAAATGTTAAGCAATTTTGCAATATTATGTTTAGTTTGCTCTTAATAACACATGAATTTTGTATATACAAAAGTAACACCATCACACCCGAGACTTGCCAAATCACATAATAAAATAAACACAGAATTTGTTACCATGGTTTTTTAATTACCACGCTAATTATGATGATACTAAAACTGCTGTATTTTCTTTCAGTCTAGACGGAAAATGAAACATTAAAATCAACTTGAATTATAACAATTTTAATAATTACCTTGTCATATCTTGTATCCACGTCACTGACATTCTTCCGTCAGTTCATTTGAAATAGAAAGATACATAAATATGTCTAAGCAGTTTTTAATATCAGTCTACATTATTTTATATATTTTTTATTCTATTGGGTTATGACACCAAGTCAAAGAAAAACATATGTAGCTTCAATTAAAATTTGGCCTAATAAGACCAAGTGGAATGTATGTATCAGGCAGTTTTCATTGCAGATTTCGTCTGGAAAAAATTTAAGAAATCCATGCGAAAAATTAACTGGGCTTTCGTCATGACCAGTAGTCTGTAGCTTATTCTGAGCTGGCAACTAGCAAATGCTAATTAGTCTAGTTACTACTGATTTGGGCCCGTGTTATCATAAATGTTATTGATTACCAAAATAAATTACTTTGACAGTGGATGGTTTGATAAAGAAAGCAACCCTTATGAAGGAACATAAGCACGTCGATCAGTGTTATTCGAGGTATTATTAAATTATCATTCCGTAATTATTGAAAACAAATAACTATGTCTTTAAATTTTAACGTTTTTTTGAATAAGCTCCACTTATGTCCGTGCAACCGACAGAATTCTATGTTCCTATAAATCCATACGTATTGTTGATTTTGGTATATTTTGAAAATCTGGAATAATATTTTTGAAATAACAATACACATGCTTTCAGAAAATTGTTGGCAGTGTGCAATAAGGAATAATACTCCGGAGTGTCACCGTGGTGAAAATCTGTATCCTTCTTAGAGCAAAGCATCTGATTATAAGAAAGATATTATCTGTACTATTACAATGTTGTTATTTACTATAAATAATAAATATAAATAATTATAATAAAATATTTGGCTTCCTATTATAAGCATATTTTAAAAGCTACAAATCCAATTTAAATTGTCGTTACTTTTTCTAGCAATAATATCACAAAAATTGTAGATATATAACTTAAAACCTTTGCATATCTTGTAAGTTTATTGGAATATAAAATATGCATGCAAACAAAACTGTTTACACTATGAAGGGCAGTAATGCCAAACGCGTTTCGACCTCAAGAGGTCATTATCAGTGGCAAAACATAAGTTAATTCATATAATCTAAATCAAAAGATTATAGTTCTAAACAGAGCATAAAGGTAAGTTCTTTACAAAACCATATTTAGTAACGCCCAAGCTTCGTCGAAGTTCACAGGCACAGACGACGCAACCACGGGTCACCGTAGACCAGCAACGGCCATCAGACCAGTGGACTAACAGCTTAGTGCCCAATGCACCAACTCCTGTGCAACCAACATCCAGTGGTGTTACTAAATATGGTTTTGTAAAGAACTTACCTTTATGCTCTGTTAAGAATTATAATCTTTTGATTTATATTATATGAATTATATGAATGGGTTTCAGAATAACGTAATCTTTGAAGTGAATAACTACTAAGCCTATTTGCGTTAGTTTGTTAGTAGGTTTGTTGCTTAAACCCTTAATAGGCTTACGATAACCAGCCACTTTACTAGCCAGTCATTAGATGATAGATAGGCCTAATTAGTCAGAGAATTAGGAGAGTTTAAGTATTTCCTGCATTAGGCTTTATTTGCGAAGTTCTTAGACGTTAACACACTAGTGCTATTCAGTACTGAATTTTGTAATTTGATGTGAGAACCTGGAAGATATTACTACAAATTAAACTATTGTGGTAATTAATAGTGTATTTTAATCACGCGAAATATTTTGATTTCGTGATTATTATTTATATACCATTTTAGACTGATTTAAAACTTGACGGTTACGTACTAAAATATAGCTTATATATTATAAGTTTAATTCAAAGTATCCACCAAACCAGCGGCAGATGATTTCAATTATTGTTTATTTTTTATTATACAAAAATATTACAATTCTTTCAAATAATATACCTGGAGAGATTCTCTTCACTCAATAGAATATGACACCTACACTTTTAACTGGGAAAAATATAGGAATATGGCAATTGTGAAGTTATAAATTTCAAGGGCCATAGCCGATTTTATGATACTTTTGGACATTTGTCTGGATAGTCTGAAATTAAAATGTAATAAAACGATATGTTGGAGTAACTGCTATCATAGGGTAATCACATGACATTTAATAGTTTTAATCCGTTTCTCCAGCTCCTATATTATGTAATCCTACGGTTTAACATTTGCACAACGCAAACTCAAGATACAAGACAGCTATCGCCATATTTAATATAATTCCTTGATACCTTAAAAATACTGCTTCATGTAGTTAAATATGTTACCGTGTGTCGATGTATTTAAAATAAATATCAAAATATTATCTTAGACGAAGTTTAATTCAGATTCTTTGGATATTACTTTTGTATTGTTCTTACGTTTAAATTATGTAAGGATTAACGATGTTCTCATAGCCTGTACTTGCATGCTCTTTGCATTTCCTCCTTGAAGAATGTTGCTCGAAATGAGCTGTACATTACGCGGTCTTTCTGTTCAAATTGCAAAAGTTTCCCTCAACAACTTTCACTGAAACAAAAAATTCTTTTTATACAATATCATGTTTATTCATAAAATGTTATTACTTATTTTCATTGGTTTTAATTTTCCCGAATTTCCTTATTTCCTATTCTAGACTTAAATATAACTAACCCAATTTGTAACATATATATGCAACTGGAATAATCTTACTTTAAAGAATACAATGAAGTCCGTATTATTAGGCCTACATTCTAAATTCTTAAATAATTTTCATCTTTATTTTAACACACTGTCTCAATACTGGCTCATGATCCAATCACTGAGAAAAAACAGGAAAATTAAATGCATCGATAGAAAAACTAAACCTACATTATTAAAACAGTAACACAATCTGGTAGGCTATACTATAACAACGATTAATGTGTTAAAATTACAATTATCAGTTAAAAGATTTATGTGTGATATTTACGTTAAGAACTTAGTCATTAAACATGTTAGTATTACGCCTATTACAAATTGCATTGGCAAGAAAGTTAGGATAAACAGAACTTTTCTACGCAAAAACAAATCGTGGGAATTATTGACGTCGTAAGTGTTTGTTTGGAACTCTGATGCCAACAATTTCCAAGGACGAATGGCAGTTAATAAATCTGTTGAGCAGGGGAAATAAAGATAGGCCCACGTAACTATTAGATAAATAGGCATCCTTATTAATACAATATACGAACTTTGCAAATAAAACTATTCTAAGATTATTCGCTATTTATTGTTTAACAATAATTTAATAACAGGCCTGTGTAATTTGTTTGGATAGAAGCCAAGTATTTTTTCTTATGTGTCTTCAAATGTTATACAGTAATCCTGAATCTATAAATATCAAGTACATACGTACAGTCTATCTCCATAGACACTTAAGGAAGCCAGTTTAATTTGGAAGCCGTTTGTTTTAAATCAGTAATTTGGTGTTTTGAACGCAGTATCTAATGCAGGAAATGCGTGAATTTGTCTAAGACCCTGATTTCGGTTCTGCCCCATTACTCGCTGGGCTTACATTTTGGTCATTAGGATACAAATTCCATGGGCAAACAGAAAAACGCACATGGCGAAGTAGGAAGCGGTGCTGATTACGAACTGCCGCTGAGCGCAATTCCATTATCAGTCTGTAGCGACATATATAACTGAGTTTTATGTCAACAAAATACCGTTGAACAAAGTTTCAAGATCATTTCGATTTAATTTTCCTATTCATTGTTACAGGAGGTGAGTTGAATCAGGAATATGACCGCCATGCCAGACTCATTTCTCCTGGAGTGGGTATCCTTCCAGTACCAGATGTGGGATGCCCCAATCCCAGAATGCCTGGCGTCATCTTCCGCCCGTATCTAATCAACATTACTTTTTTCCTTCATTACGTAAGTAGATCGTATTCTCCAAACATTTCAAATGGAACGAGTGACTTTGGGTGCAATATCTTCCAATAATTACATTCTACAAACATTAATTAAGTAGATTCACATCCAGTATTTCTTTCTGAGACGTTGTCTGTTGTCAGAGGAGATTCTGCACTTTCCCAGACATTTTAATAAGTAGATGTTGTTTGCATATTAAATTCTACGATGTTCAAGATTGGTTAAGTGTGTCATGAGTGACGTAGAATTATTTCTAAAATCCTTATTTAGAGCAGAATGTATCCATCAGGACTATAAGAGAAACAAGACTTGCTGACGAAACATAGACTGAGCAATATGGGATGATGAAAAATTTCGCTTCCAAATAAACCGTGGCAGATAATTAATTAACTTTTGAATCTGAAGCTCGTCTGAATAAACAACGTCTATAAAATTTAGTCCGTACCTTGAAGAAGAAACTGCAAAGTTCCTTTGCAAATGTCGTCTACTTAACGCTGTTTGGGCTACTATAAGAATCGTACGAAACCCATAAATATAAATAAATTTTGAGGGGCAGAATGTGGAGTTGCTGATAATTGAGAGTACAGTTACCACTGATTTTGTTCTGAAGGGTTAATAACCCGTTGGAATATCCCTATTATCAATAAGAGAATTTCTTTGTGTTGAGAATCACTGCTAGTAACACAGGTCGGTTCTATTTTGCACCCTGCAAAAGAATTAATTTGTATGTTAACATTTTCATGAGACTTGGGAATGATAGCAGCTCTGAAGTTGAAATAACGTGATCAAACTTTGTGAAACAAGATCACGGTCCTTGTGTGACAGAACTCTTGTTGACCTGTCCATTGTTTCAGGGAGTCTCACCTTGTTTTCCTCTTTTTCAACCTGGAGGGTCTCTTAAGGATACTGTGGATGAACATACAATGACCACGGCCCCAAATCGCTGGCACCGCCATCCCCCCCTCACCGCCCGATAAAATGACTGTTTATATCCAATATTTCAGGCATAAAAACACACACAGCACATACAAACAGGCAGGCAGTACTGCAGCGATTCGCGAAACCACCCTCCCCCTTCCCAATCCCCCAACCCTTCACCCAGCCACGTGATAACAATACAATCAATGACCGAAGCCTGTCACCAATGTGAGCCATTCGCCCCTCCCCTAACCACCCACCCCCCCTGTCCGCCTACTGCCGCCAACACAAATTGTGTGGAGTGTTGTATGTGGATCGAGTGCTGGGGTGGGTTGTTATTGAACCACCAGGTGTAGTGGTACAGTATTTGCAGCCTGGACCAAGTTTTAGCAGTGTCCGGAGAGTTGGGTATCGTACGGTCGTCGTCGGTCTGGTGACGACGAGCTGTCAAGACCGAGGAAACTTTCTGGAAACCCCCTACCCTCCTCAGCTTGAGAGGCTGCTCCGGGAAGAGAGAAATCCGAGTCTATTGGCCAACCATCAGGTGAGTAGAATGATCAATATGACGATTGTGTCTGTAGAAAGTTCCTCTGGCTGCTTGGCATCGCCTCTCCACGCAACCTTCTCCTCCCGTCTCTCTCTCTTTCTCCGTCTCTCTGTCCGTGTGCGCATCCAGACGCCAGGAGAGACAGCGAAAGTACTCCAGGTGGAATCTGCAACCAACTTCAGAAAACGGTTATCGATTAGACGTGGCTTCTGCCACGTTTTAATTCCCTTTTATATTTTGCTGTTTCGAGAAAACGTTTTACGTCTGCTTAAGTTTTACTTGTCCTTCGACTTAAGCGTAAATGAATTAAGAATTAGCCGTAAAGTCATATGAGCTCCTAATTTTCGTGCGCGGAAGTAATTAAAAATATACAGATCTGCGCATCGTAATTAGACGGATGCAAATAAATGCTTAAGAGCGTGTTCTATTACGCATTTGATTGAACATCTGAGCTCAGCAAGTGCGTCGTTTGCTGATAAATATTCCCACTTAACTGCTATTATCTTCACTTCAAACAGAAAATTATCGATAATATTTTCTTTAGCATGTAATGTGTTACGTAATTAAAGCATTTAAGAAAATATTGTCATAGCGGAGTTCATGCTGTATCAACGACATTAATTTAGGTCTCTATTCTAAAATACACGACGTTTCTTACAGGCTGCCTCCTGGTGGCTATGATATTTTGTATTTTTCTTTTCTTCGTTTATAAACTCAATAATATTTTATTAGTCCTGTAGATAATTGTTTATTTGTTCAAAATTATTTTGTATTTTCTGGATATTTAAGCCGTTAGTTTCTAATAAGTTAATTTATTCCTATAAGACTTAGAATGGTTTAGTGAAACTATATACAAATACTGTATAAAGTGATACAAAACATGAAAAACGTAGTTATGTAATTTTTTTTTAGAAATTTATGTGAGTGCGATGAGTGACGCGCGAGGTTTTATTATAATGTCTCTGAACTTTCACGCCAGTTGGCGAGACCAGATAATTCTTACTTACAAAAAATCGTTGTTTTCTGTATAAAGTTACTTCTGTCTTCTTATCTGCTTCATATCAGTGGCCCTCGATCAATATTTCTCGCTGAATTTATGTTACAGAAGCCAATATCTGCATTTCCAAAGTAATTATTTCTGCATGAAAATTAAAAAAAATAAACTTCTTTGCACATATAATTATATAGAATTCGTAAATGTCTTGACTTTATAGGCTATTTTCAAATGCTGCTTTTTTCTCTGCTCAATTATCTTTTGAGATACACACCTCATTCAGATCATGGCCAAATCGAGATGCGAAGATACCAAGAAGGTAAATGAAACTTTTAGTTATTTCAGTTTAAAATATGGCTTCCACGCATGCGCGGAGGGAACTTTTTATTCCCTCAACGCCCATTTTTAAGGCGTGTCTTTCCAGTTTCCGTGTTTTTTAATATGACTCCACCTTTCGATACAACCACAGAGACTTGAATAACTCGACAATGGATCAATTATGCCTACATAGAACGATCCTAGGCATTCGTCTTAGCCAATCGCTTCACAGTTCCTTGAGTGTGTAACAAAGGAAATTGATGGTATTAGAAATGAAAGGGATATTACAGCATCAGAAATATTTTAAAATATCCTAACGCAAAATATTAATTTATTTCAAATCATTGATAGGCATTATTTTAAAAATCCGTTGTAAACAGAACTCAGATCATTGATAAAATAATAATTTTATATATAACATATAAATACCATCATTAAATGCTTCCTTAATATAGGCCTACGTGTCTAATTACATTTAACATTTTAACAGCAAATAACATTGTTAATTTGAGATCTGTTATGTTAATAGTTATGAAATACAGGCCATTTTTCCTCTCATTTTATTATTTTAAGAACAAACTGTTTTAAGTTCATCCGCTCCCTCGAAAATATTTATATGTAAATAATGCGTGGATACAAGTTGGAATACATTTCCCTGTTGTATTCCATGAAACGTACAACTTTATAGGCTAAAATATATTCCATATGTTACGAACTCAAAACGTGACTTCAATGTGGATACTGCTGGCAGAGACAGTTTGTATGCCAGTGCATTTTCATTTTAGAAAGATAAAACTTTTTCGTTAAGGCTTGCATTATGAAACGGAAGTGTCCGTGCGAGCATCATATAGGACAGAAATTTGGTTCTTTTGTGGGAAATAAATGCATTCTTAAAATTTACATTTTTGTTATATGAAATGAAGCCTGTAGTTTCCAAAATATTTCGGCTTATATTTATATTAATTTTATAAAAAATCAACGTATTCATTTTATATAATGTACTGAGAATTATAGACACTACGAACTGTTTATCTTTCGATAACCGCAGTGAAAGCAGTAATAAGGGGTTAGTTTGGTTTTATAACTTTTCAAAATACTTCTTATAGCCTAAACGTAGAAAAAACACTGACTTTATAATTAGTATACAATAATCTGTTCACTTCCTTACGACAAATTTGTATCTAAACTTTTTAATATTTTACATCAAAACTTGTAAATTTTATCTAGCCCTGAGGCTTATAAGAAACACATTTAGGACAGCAAGGAAAGTCTCTAAAGAAATTAATTATATTTATTTTATGGGCATAACCTAACATTGTCCGTAAATTAACGGTGATACAACGTTTAATGAATTACTCGTAGTCTCTCGTTTAATATCACAGCACTTTTGAGTGTCATCTGCGTGCTTCATCTCTTAGCATTAATCATTTCCACGATCTGCAACAGAAAAAGTCACATCTTCCACACATCTAGGCCTACTCCAATAATATAAAAGCGCTGAAACCTCATATACAAAGAAAATATTGTAGGTTAGGCCTATGTATAGTGGATTTTATAGGCCAGGTTCACCCCCGCTCAAGAACTCAGTATTGCGAGCATAATTATAATTTGCAAAATGCAGACTCGCTTATTTAAGAAATTATTTATAATCTATTTGAAATCATTAAATGTTCCTCTTGCCATTTGCATCTTAAAACATCCTAGAAAGAATATCAATTGGTTTTAGCTGTGTTATTCAAAACTGACAGGAAATATTTGTCAAATACATGAGAAATTACTTGCGAGTAAATAAGTCTTTTATGGCTTCAGCTACTCATATTAAATATTTAGTATATTTCAAATATAATGTACGAATTAATCGTCTGCAAATAGTGCTGGAAGAAAGCTATAAATATAAACTCTATTGTTGAAAGAAAGTAAATCCAATAATTATAAATATTTTACAAAGATAATATTATTTTCATACTGAGTTTAGAATTGTTTAAGTTTTCACTTCACACAGACAGTGGCGGATAATTAAAGAACAATTAAAAGTAACTCAAAATTGAAGTTTTATAAATTACATTAATCAAATTTAGATCTCAAAAAAATTAAGAATCTGATTAAACGTGTATCGACTGAAAGGAGATCTCCGAATATTAGTGAAAATTATATTTGTTTCGAAGGAAAAGTGTTTTAATAAAAATAAAATTTATTTACAGAATCAGTATTCTTTCTTCTTGAGCACATTGTATAAAAATAATATATTTATTCGTACGATAGAACGTCATTATGTACTTCGTTGCACAGTGCTTCTGAATTTTTCAAACGGAAGGAAATCTGAAAACTTTGCATTTATTTTCTCTGCCCTGACTGTCAGTACGTCCATACTCAAAGCAGCGTTAATCTTATTTTATAGAATTAATGTAAGCGTTTCAGAACCATCTATTTACCAAACCATAAATGGAACTGCATTTGGGACTTTCGTAAACACTGAGAAGGCAACTCTTCGTAACGCTTAAGATAATAGATTTTGGCATTCTTACATTCAGAGTCGTAAGAAAAGAGAATGCTGTCCAGTGGATTGGACTAAATATTCAAAGAAAAATCCTACAAACTTTCTGATGTCCTTTGTAGTTGCATAAGCGATTAATACAGTCCTGTTTAAAATTTATTACTTGAGAAAGGAACACAAGGAGTTTAAGCCCTTGAGGTGCAAATACTTCTGTTGCATGTTTTTTGACGTAAAATGTATTTTATCTGTAATTTGCTTAATTTCATATTTCTTTTCATCTTGCCTTTGCAATCTCGATGACGATGATTTCCTTGCTGTTTAGTTCTACCAAGGACTGAGGTTGTCGTATCATGCTGATTGGATGGACCTGTGTAGCATAATAAGAGCGGTGACAGATTAGTATGGTTTATTGTGACTGACAAGCAAATGTACTTGGAAATAAATCTCCCTCGTGGCACTTTGCTCCACCCAAGTCCTACAAAGACTGACCTGAAATTGAACCTGTGTCCTTATGGTGAGAAGCTATTTAAATGGGACTATGTAAGAAGACTGCCCAACTGCTATCAAATTGAACAAATCAGGAATAAAAATCTTCTTGGATATTATCCATCGTCTAGTAAATATAAAACGTAAAACGACGTTTCGGAGATGGGACTCTATCTCCGTCTTCAGGTTCCTACAAAGTTGGGCCCACTAGATAGAGCTAATCCCTATCTCCGGATAGAGTCCCATCTCCGAAACGTCGTTTTACGTTTTATATTTACTAGACGATGGATAATATCCAAGAAGATTTTTATTCAATTTACTCTTCACCATCGTCAAGAAGTTTTAGATTTGATGAACAAATCAGGTTTGAAATTATGTCACGCTGAACATGAGACGGCTTTCAAAAGTGACCAAACATGGACCAGCTCTACATAAAATAAGTATTGTCTGATTGATAGCTGTAAATTTCATGTCGCTTAAAAATTCAGAATAAGAAGCTTCTGAAATAACCATAATTTATTCATTGATTGCAAAGTAAGTTTACTTTTCATGTATTAAATCAAAAAGCCTTTTCCATCTCATGATTCTGGAACCCTGCATATTGACAATTGTATCAGCAGTTTCTTAGTGCCTAACGTTATCGAAGTTTAAGCTACTTCTGCAGCGACAGAGTTTGTTTAGATCTGTTTCGCTAATGAACTCACA